TCTCTCTGGCTTTCACTCGGGCTCTGGCTCTCCTGGGATTGCGGTTTTGGTTCGGGATTGTGGCTCCTCCGGGATCGTGATCTGGGAAGGGGCCGGGCTTGGTCAGCAGGTGGTGAGCGATGGCACTGGGTATTGCTCATTTGCATATTTTATTACTGTTATCATTATCACTATTATTTTAATATTAGTATTATTTTAAGTTTGCTTTTATTTCTATTATTAAACTGTTCTTATCTCACCTTACAAACCTCCTTCCCCTTGCCCCCCAGTCCTCTCCCCTATCCCCTGGGTGGGAGGCAGCAGGTGAACAGCCAAGGACCAGCCCAGTGAAACCAGCACACAGGAGGAAAGGTCTGGTGTGCTATTCACCAGCCAGGAACAGCAGACGTGGATATCCTAAAGACAGATTTAAATGACCCCAACTCCACCAGTCTTGCTGGAATCAGACTGGAAGGGAGGGCTGGAGCTGGTCCCTGCTGGGACAAGTCTGGGATGTGTCTGTAAGGAGAATGGGAGGCAGGAGGTTCGTGGTCCCTCTTAGCCAGGGTAGCTCAGAGCCTTGCAGCTCCTGCTGGGTTTCAGGGAGGAGGAGGACTCCAACACATGGAGGAGACATGGGACCTGCCCAGAGCCACGCTGCCTACACCTCCCACGGTCAGAGCTGGGGTGACCTCCTGGTGCAGAAATTAAATGATGGGGAAATGAAAGACTATTGACCCTGAGTCAGGGTGTTTTCCATTCAGGAGGCAGAGGGAAGATGTGAGCAGTGAGGTGATCTCATTTCACAAACACCACTCATCTCGGTGACTGGCAGTGATCGCTGGGCTCGAACCCCACGGAATCTCCTCACCAGCGTGGCAACTCCCTTCTGGGCGTCAAAGAGTCATTTTGAGGGTCACATACAATGAAATCTATGACAAAAGCAGCTCAAATAGGTGTGTGTGTATTTCTGCCAGACTTCTCCAGAGCAGATTTATCCACCTGCAGCCAGAAGAACGAGATATTTAGGTCAGTTTTTCAGTTCTGAGCAAATAGCACGTTCAGTTCTCACCAGAGCGCGTCTCTGAAGGCAAACAGGGCTGGGGCTCGTCACCACCGAGCACTGGATCTGGTTTCGTTAGGGTAGAGCTGATTTTCTTCTCAGTATCTACAAGAGCTGTGGTTTGGTTTCAGTGTGGGATTTGGTATGAGAAGAATGTTGATAACATACTAAAGTTATTAGTTGCTACTGGCCCAAGGTCGTCGTGTTTTGCCAGTTTCCAAGTGCAACAGACTGGGAAGAAGTGTAACAATTAGCAAAACCCAGCATTGGCATTTGGATATGCTAATGAGAGTTCATCTCCTATCGTGTCGTGGTCAGTATATTGATGAGAGTTGACTGGAAAGCTGGGGATCCTCTCAGGGCTCTCGCTCTCCCAGGATTGTGGTTTCAGTTTGGGGACTGTCTCTGCTCCGGGGTCACTGGCTGGGGACAGGCTGAACATCAGTCAGCGGGTGGTGAGCAAATGCACTGGGCATCACTTGTGTATATTCTGTTATTACTATTATTATTTTATCTAAATTAGTAAATTGTTTTTATCTCAACCCATGAATTTTCTTTCTTTTACCCTTCCCTTTCTCTCCCCCCCGACTCCCTGGCAGGGGAGAGTGAGTGAGCAGCTGTGTTTGGCTGCAGCCAAAAGAGTGAAACCACCACAGCACCTGAGGACACCCACGTGAGAGTGGGTGCTCCTGTGGGTCAGGTGACCCTTCCAGATCCTGTGATGCTCCACACTCAGGCACCACCTCACCCTGAGACCTGGCCCACGTTTTAACAGACAGACACCCCTTTGGGTGGGATTATCTTATTATTGCTGGAGCGTGTCCAGAGAAGGGCAACGGAGCTGGGGAAGGGTCTGGAGCACAAGTGTGCTGAGTTCCCTTGTGGCTGAGGGAACTGGGGGTGTTGAGCCTGGAGAAAAGGAGGCTGAGGGGAGACCTTCTGGCTCTGTCCAAGTCCCTGCAAGGAGGGTGGAGAGAGGTGGGGGTGGGTCTGTTCAACCAAGGCCCAAGGGACAGGACAAGAGGAAATGGGCTCCAGTTGTGGCCAGGGCAGTTGAGATGGGATGTGAGGAAGAATTTCTTTGCTGAAAGGGTTCTCAGGCATTGGAAGGGGTTGCCCAGGGCAGTGGTGGAGTCCCCATCCCTGGAGGGATTGAAGAAAAGTGTAGATATGGCACTTCAGGACATGGTGGTGTTGGGTTGACAGTTGGACTTGATGATCTTAGAGGTCTTTTCCAACCTTAATGATTCTATGATTCTAAGAAAGTTGAGGGCTGGGCTGGATGTGCCATGGGGCCGGGGTGTTGTCATCTTGCCAGAGCCCAGCCAGGGCAGCATCACCTGGGAGGGGAACGAGGGGAAATGGCCTTCTCCCTCCTGGAGTGCCAAGGTGGAAGGAGAAGGTGCCAGTGCTCAGCCCGCTTGGCAGGAGGAGGTAAAAGCAAAGGTAATTATCTCATTAGCTAATCAAGGGGCCTCTGTGGGAGCCCGCGAAGGGAGCAGGCGCGGGTGCAGTAGGGGCTCTGTGCAATGCTGTGTGCTGGGGACACAGTGAAGGTTTGGGATGATGTTCTCACAGAATCACAGGATGTCAGGGATTGGAAGGGACCTCAAAAGATCATCCGGTCCAATCCCCCTGCCAGAGCAGGAACCTAAATGAAAGATTCTCCAGCGAATCTTTCTCCTGGTCCTGTTGGGTCTGATGGGCTCTACCTCCCCGCAGCTTGCCGTGCCTCCTCCCAGCACTGTCCTTCTGTTGCCCCAAAGTTTTTGTAGGGAGGATTTAGTCAACACAATTATTAAATTCTTTACCTGTGAATTATTTAACCTGTATTATCCCATTATTATCCCATAACTTCTGGATTTATTTCTTTACTACAGAAGGATCAAGAAAAGTAAACCAAAGAGTTGCTCAGCCTGGGTTTGGAGGCAGGAGCTGGAGGGTTTGGCTGGCTCTGGGTACCCACAGCCACCGCACAGTGACACATGTCCAGGAGGGGCCAGGGCTGGTCAGTGCTTCTCTGTCCTGCGTGGGCATGAGTCCCCTTTGCTCAGGACAGTCCTGAGCAGTCAGTGGGGTGTTTCCAGACCTGGGAAGGTAGTGGACACTCATTCACCACCTTCCAGTGATGCCATGTGAGTCCAAAGGCTCTGTGTTGTGTGGAGGTGGGAACGCAGGAGTGGTGGCACCCTCTGGGCTCAGGGCTTCCTCCCCACCAGGAACACGAGCCAAGGCAAAGGAGACAGATGTGGGAAGAGGGACGGGCTGGAGGTCTGGGCACAGGCCCCCCCATCTCAGTACAAGCTGCAGGTAGAGACAGAGCCCCAAGAACTGCTGCACCTCCTGTTTCACAGGGTGGGGTGTTCAGTGCACACAGTGGGACCTCTGACACCACCAGCCCTCCGGCCACAGGGGAAGGTGCTCTGGGAAGGTGGCACGTGGTGAAGGCCCCCCAGCAGGCATTTCCCTTCTGGCACTGCTGTGTCTGAGATAAGGCAGCTGGGAACTGGATCTTTCCATCGAGATCACCCATCTGATAGCCCTGCAGCCTCTTCTGGAGCTGAGTCAACAGGAAGCAGCTTCGCTCCATCACCCCGAGAGAGCAGGTCCCTCCATCCCAGGGCAGGGGTGCTGGGCTTTGTGCTGGGGTGTGACACCCACCCACCCACCTGCACAGCTGAGCCACCAACATCTGCCCGGAGCCATGGGCTGGGGGCTGCCAGGACCTGAGACCTCCCCACTCCCCCAGCTCTCCTTGGGGTCCCTGTGTCTGCAGAGACCCCCCAGCCCAGGAACAGCTTGAGGCTGGGTCAGACATGGGGAAGGGGCGATCACAGTCCCAGCTGGGCCATGACCATGTCTTGGCCTCTCTTGTCTCCCCTTGAAAAGCTCAGGGAATGTTTCTGAGACTCGAATGGGATTTTTCCTTCTCATTGTAATAAAACTCATTATCACGGCACCCACCACTCTGGGTGTGATTTCAGGACACTGGCTACTGGAAACATCACTCAGGCTTCTGACAGACCTTATAGAGACTCGTGATGGAAGGATTAAGACTGGTGAGAACAAAGAGGGAACAGAAATGTGTGAGTGTGTGTGTAAAAGCACAAAGCAGCAGGGAGACAAGGGTTAAAGGAGAGGTGTGTGCTAATTGCTGCAGGGCTCCTATGTGTGATTTCATTCAAATGAGGAAGAGGAACTAATTGGCAGAAGATAAGGTGTGGGGAAGATGCCCAACTGAGCCATAAATACACTTGTAAGACCAACAAAAGAATTGATAGTCAAGAGTTTTGCCGAAAGCTGATGAGGTCTGAGAGAAAATAATGGGGAAAAGATTTTCCAGCAGTATCCACTTCCAAGGGATGTAAAAGGAAAGTCCAAGCTGGGTTTGCTGCCAGCAGCGGAGGAGCCCAGAGCCACAGCAAGGACTTTTACCAGCCACCTCGGAGCGATCCCACCTGGGCACTCACATCTGGGTGCTGCTGGGTGCAGGGGTCTGGCCACGCCAGCAGGTGAGCTGACCTTACATCTTCTCCAATAAAACCACCTTCCCCTTCTGCAGTCAGCATCTCATGTTGATTTTTGTTGTAATTCCCCATGCCCTCCTCTGTTTGGTGCAGTGTTTCATTTGTTCCCCCTGGACCTGATCCTTCTTGGCAGTGGTGAGCTGAGCAGTGGTGGGTGCAGGGTCTGGAGGACCATTGCGATCCCATCACGGCTGTGCCAGGCTGCTGGGTAACCAGCCCCTCTTTCCTCCCCATTTTATCCCAATATTTCTTTTCCCAGGGTAAGATCTGATTATTCATGAGCATTTCTGAGTTACACACCTTGAGACAGTGCCAGCCTGGGGACAGCTTTTGGAGCTGCTCTCCTTGCAGCCCTCACTGACTGGCATTGTTACCAGCTGGCCATGTCCAACCACCTTTCTCCTGGGTTTGGGTTTGCAGGAGCCTTCACCATGATGTTTGCTAACAAGAAGCACTTCATCACTGCCATCGTCGGGGTGCTGGCTGCACTCTCCATCATTGCCCTTGTTCTCAGCCTGGTGAAGATTGAAGATGTCACTCTGCCACCCACGGTCAAGGTGAGCCCAAAAGAGGGTCCTCAAGCACCATTGCAGAGACCAGTCACCTTGGGCAGGTGCTCAGAGACAATGGCTTATCTGCAGGGTTAGGAGGTGAAGGGTGGTCAGTAGGACCTGCCTTGTAGTAGTTGGGTGGGTGTTTTCTTCCCATCTCAAGATGCAGGCAGAAGAAATACAGCCTGGCCACCTCAAAGTCTCTGAAATAGCTGCCATGCTTTGTGCTTGACGTGTTTTGAGGAGATCACCTTGGGGCAGATGGGTAGGGCAAAGCCCTGCCCCACTCCCTCTGCCCTCCCAGGGCACCACATGGCAGGACGATGCACCTCCACGTGGCCTTTGCTCCTGCCAGCTCCCACCAGCCTTGTCCTAACCCACTCACACCATAGCACAAGCATCACAGCTCCACCTCATCCCTCCCCCGCAGTTTGGCATCCCACCCTGGCTGCTGGAAGGGGGTTGGCATGGTTTTAGGGTGAAGTGGTGGAGAGAAACACATGGTTAGGTGCCCATGGACTGGGGCTGGTGTGGCCCTGCCAGAGAGCACTGGAAGTGGGGGAGTTGGTGGCCCCAAGGTGGGGCCAGTGTAGACACAAAAGGTATGTAACCAAGAGAGAAAATAAAAAAGCATAAGGAAACAACCAGGAAAATGTTTGTGTGAGCTGTTGTTGCTGCACAGACCTCAGGAGAGGGAGTGAAAAAGTTCCTCAGTTGCCACGAGTAATGCCCGTGCTGAGGCCACGCGCTGTCACTGCTCTGCTCTGGCCCCACAACCCTGGCAGGATCCTCCTACCAGCATTGATGTTCTTGGTTTTTCCTTCCAGTATGGGATGGTGTTTGACGCAGGGTCATCCCACACCTCCCTGTTTGTCTACGAGTGGGATTCAGACAAGGAGAATGACACCGGTGTGGTCAGCCAGACCTTGTCCTGTGATGTCCAGGGTCAGTATCCCCCTGCCGTGGGCTCAGTGTTGCCCTGTGTGTTTGTGTGGTGGGTGGGATGACCTGACCCTCCCTCTATCCATCAGACTGTCACTGCTGGCACGGTGGGGAGCCCTGACTCCCTACTGGCTTCACTCTATGGCTGGAGGGCCCTCAGCACCATGTAGCACCCACCCGCTTGGTGGGACTGAAGAACCTCTTGATTTTCATTCCTCCACCTTGAACTGCCCCCAGCTGCATAAGCTGCTGTCCTGGCTGTGGAAGGTCTCATCCATAGAGCTGGGGATGCTGCTGAAAGCATGGGAGATGTGGGGAAGATACCCACACACGATGTCCATGTATGTTATCAACATTCTTCTCCATACCAAATCCCCACTCAAACCAAACCACAGCTATTCCACCTACTGAGAAGAAAACTAACTCTGTCCTAGTGAAACCAGGACAGTCAGTCAGGTCTCAGGGGACCAGGAAACGCTGGCAAAGCAGCCTTTGTTGCTAAGAGGTGATGGACCTCCCTGCCCCACATCCTCTTGCTCCTACATCCCTGTCCCCAGCCATTCCCATCAGCTTGTCCCAGTGTGACTCTCTTCCAGGTCCAGGCATATCAAGCTACGCCAGTGATCCCCCGAAAGCTGGTGATTCCCTAAGAGAGTGTCTGGATAAAGCCCTGAAGGTCATTCCTAAAAAAAGGGATGTCCCAGCTTACCTCGGAGCAACGGCAGGCATGAGGCTACTGAGGTATCTCTGTGGGGCATTGGGGTGATGGAGCAGTGACAGAGCTGCAAGCAGGGACCAGGAGCTCCCAGGTCATAGAATCACAGAATCCCAGACTGGTTTGGGTTGGAAGGGACCTTAAAGCTCATCCAGTTCCAACCCCCCTGCCAGCAGCAGGGACACCTTCCACTAGACCAGGTTGCTCAAAGCCTCATCCAGCCTGGCCTTGAACACTTCCAGGGAGGAGCAGCCACAGCTTCCTTGGGCCACCTAGGTCCCAGATGTCTGTTGGCATCCCAGGACCCCAGGTCCTAGGATGGTGCTGCATGCCCAGTTCCAAGCAAGAAATGCTTCTCAGAGCTCTTTGTCTGCTCTTCATTATTGTTTAAACACAAGGGAGTTGAGATGCCACCAGGGGATGTGTCATCTGCCCAGATGGATGGGTGCTGGTGGGGGAGTGGGGCAGAGGTAGGAGGCAATGGGGTGCTGTGGGACCTGCCCTTACCTTTCACCAGCCCGTATTAGCTCCCTTCAAATGTCAACCTTCATTTCATGGTTCTTGGTTTTATGGTTGCAGATACCTAAGGTTATTTCTGTGCCCTGGCAATCAGACCCCTCCCCTGGGAAGGAGCCAGGTCATAGCCTGGAGGTTACTCACTTCAGAGAGCAAGCACATACCAGCAGCTCTGAGACACCTCAGAGGTCTGAAACCAGGTTGGCACCTTCCCAAAAGACCCACTGGAGCTCAGCAGCCAGCTCTGGCTTTGGTGCAGTCACTGGGTGATGTTCAAACATGGGTTTTGCAGCACAGTCTCCTCTGAAGGCCCTTAGGTAGGGAAGGACAGCCTGGCAACTCTCTGTGTGACTGGGATCAAGCTGCACTGGAGGGAAGAGATTGCTGCTACTCCCAGATTTGTGATGCCAAGTCTAGACAGCTGGGATTTACGCTGTACAAGCAGCTTTGACAAGTTGTGTAGCAGGAAACATCTTGTCACACAAACAGCTTGGTGCAAAAAAACCTGGAGTAGGTGGAATTAAGAAAAAAAACCAACAAAAAACCCCCAAAACCCCAGTTTCTTGTGTTTCATGTGTAGTTGTGAAGTAGCTGAGTCTGTGTCCTGACCTTTGAGTCCTTCTTAGGGAACAGAACAGCTCAGCCACAGCCCAAGTCCTGGCTGAAGTTGCTAAAACCATGCGAGAGTACCCGGTGGCTTTCAAAGGGGCTCGAATACTCACGGGAGAGGAGGAGGGGACTTACGGCTGGATCACCACCAACTACCTGCTGGAATCCTTCACTAAGGTGGGAAAAGGTGAAACACACCTTGGCTAATACAGTTTTTCTAAGTTTTCTGAAGCTTGCTTAGCACAGAAGGAAAGGTCTGGGTTAGGAGCTGTTGGGAATGACCACGGGGAAGCAGCTGGTTCCTCTCTACAGTGAAAGAGGAGGGAGAAATCAGGAATGGGGGTGTCCCTGTTAAGAGCTAAGGGCACATCTCCACACCATGGGGACACAAGGTCTCTTGGGGACAGCGAGGTCGGCCATGCAGCCCAGCAGGGACCATTTGCTCCTTGCTGAGCTTTGTCTCACTGCCCTGGGAAGGTCCATCTCCATGTGGCACCATGAGGCCTTAGTTTTGGTTCAATGTGCCAGTCTGGAGGAAGCTTGAACCAAACCTTTTTCCTGTCACCTTCTGTCCCAGCACTCCCACAGCTCAGAGCGGTGTGGGCACCATCAGGCTCCTGTGCAGGCTGTCAGAGGATTTCTGTCCTTCCAGCACCTCTGCAGCTCCTCAGGAAGGGCAGCCCCTCCAAGCCAGGTCCCCACCAGCATGCTGGTTTGGGGACCGGTGACTCAGAGCCACATGAGCCCACATTACGTTGGCACATCTTGACCATCAGACAGTTCAATCTGTTTTCTCTGGCTCTGATAAATCTCCAGGCTGGCTGGGCAGGGAAGGCAGCGGGGCCTCACATACGGAAATAATTTAATTTAATACCCGTTGAATTTAGTAACAAAACTGTTGACTTCAATGAAATGAGAATTTTGCTCAGGGCAAGTAAGCCCAGCCCTGTACTAGTCCTCTTCCCCTCCTGTCTCACCTTGGCAGTTCTCCCCCAAAGCTCACACCTGGATTCATCCAGAGGCACCCAACATTTTTGGGGCGCTGGATCTTGGAGGAGCATCTACTCAGATCAGCTTTAGACCTGAAGGTTCAGTGATAAACTGGAATGAAGGCTCCAAGTTGACGCTGTACGGGTATAACTACAACATCTACACACACAGCTACCTCTGCTACGGGCAGAACGAGATGCTGAAGCGACTGGCAAAGGAATTAATTGTGGTGAGAGGGGAACTGGGGTGGGGGTGGTAACTGGACTCTGTTCTCATGGTATCAACCCCAAACTTGTTAATGCAGAAATTAAGAACAGGCAAAGCTCTTCCAGAAAGGGACTGAGCACAGGGACAGACTCCTCGGAGCACGAGTAGGCAGACATGGAGAGGAGCATGGGGAGCAGAAGGGGCAGCTCAGGAGACATCTGCCTCAACTGCCTCGCACAGGGTGTAAAAAAGTCAGGACCAGGCTCTTCTCAAAGGTGCAAAGTGACAGGATGAGGCAATGGACACGAGCTTGGAACATGCAAGTTTCCAATCAGATGCAGGGGAAAAGTTTTTTTGCAATAAAAATGGTCAAATATTGGAATAGGGCCCAGAAATGCTGTGGAGTCACCATCCTTGGAGATATTCAGAACTTGATGTGACAAGGCTCGGAGCAACCCCATCTAGTTGGTCACACTTCAAGAAGGGGTTTGGCACAGGTACCCCTATAGCTCCCCCCAAACCTCAACTACTCTGACTCCACAGACCTGAGAAAAATGAACCAGAGATCTTTCTCAGGCCATTTTTGGGAAGGTCAGAGGGGAAGAGGGTCCTTATGGAGCTGCATCTTACCAGGAGGAGCAGCCTTGGTGAGCCAGAAGGGTTTGGTTGGGTTTGGTTTCACTAAACAGCCAGGAAAGTTCCAAGGGTTGTCCCTGGCTGGGGCTGGAGCTAGAGACAGAGCTAAGAGCTGGGGTGGAGAGGGCTTTGCATGTCCCAAACCATGATCGTGGTGGCCAGGGGAGAGACTTGCTGTGTCCCTGAAACTGGTCTGGGTCTGTGGGAGAGAGAATGAGAGAAAGCAGAGCAAGAATTAGTGTTGAGCTCAGGCTGGGACTGCAGATGGCCAACAAGACCAGGATGAAACAGCAGGAGGGTCTTTCTCTGCTGAGGAGGTGGGAGATGCCTGCACCTGTGGCTGTGGGAGGAGGGCTGGGTGGACCCCACCACCTGACATGCCCACCAAGAGGGTTTTGGAGGAGGCTGCAGCTGCGATTTTGCCATTCCCAGGAGTCATCCTCCAGCACACGAGTCGCTCACCCCTGCTACCCAAAAGACTACAATGAAACCATCTCGCTGTCTTCCTTCCACACCAGCCCCTGCACCAACCGGAGCGACCCACGCCTGACCCTTGGTGACAGGAATGTCACCCTGGAGGGCAGGGGCAATGCCAGCGGGTGCCTGGCTGCCATCAAGAAGCTGTTCAACTTCTCGGCATGCGGCCAAAGCCCGGACTGCACCTTTGATGGCATCTACCAGCCCCTGGTCAGCGGGCGGTTCATTGTAAGGCAAATCTCATCCTCTCACCTCCCATGTCCCCAAGGTGCTGCAGTGTCCCTGCATGTCCCATGGCACTGTCACCTCCCCGCAGCAGAATGGGGGCAAGAAGCTCCCAGATGCCCACTGCTCAGGTCACACCAGGGACTGCTGCTGTCTGGTTTTCCAGCCAACTCTCCAAATGGGACCATGTTAATAAAACAGATGTTTAGTCAAAAACCCCAAGTTTTCAGTAAAAAAACCCCCCAAACCAGCTTAGCCAGCAGACTCCAGCTCTGCGTGTGCTCAACGTGCTGCTGGAGCCAGCAGACACCTCCACCCCCAGCCCATCATCTCTGCTGGGACCTGGGCAGCAATGCCCTGGGACTGTGCAAGGGCAGGACAAACCCAGTGAAGGACAAACTCCATCTCCTGCTTCCAGGGGTTGCTCCTGGGGGTTTTTCCTCACTGTAACTCAACAGCATTTCTACCTCTTGTCTTTCAGGCCTTCTCTGCCTTTTATTATAACTTCAAATTTCTCAACCTGACTGAGGGGCAGTCGCTGGCCACTGTCAGGGAGACCATCGAGCATTTCTGCACCAGAAGCTGGGAAGATGTATGTTCCCCACAACGGGAGGCTGTAGGGAAGCCTCACAAGCAAAGGGGTCCTGGGGTGGGGGAAAAGGAGTGGGGACTCCCCCAGGACAAGGCTCCCTGGTTGCTGAGCTGTGTCCTACACAGTAGAGCCAAACCCTGAGCTCTGTGAGGGAGCCAGGACTGTCCTGCACCCACCCTTGGGGTCCTCCTTGCTCATGAAACATTGGGAAAGAGGCAGCCAGGGAAGGTGAAGGCAGCAAGATCTCCCCTCTAGGACAAGAGCTGGGGATGGAGGTGGGGTTGGAGCCCTGGAGAATGGTTAGAGGGGGCCCAGCTGCTGGCACCACTCTGGGGAGGAGTCAAATGGGGATGGATAAGGCCAAGAGAAGTGCTAGGACTTCCATGGGGCAAAGAACAGGGACTGTGGCTGAGAGGAGGCTGAGGTGGGAGAATCTGAGGCAGGAGGAGTTCCAACATGTCCCTCTATTTCCATGTGGAGAGTAAATCCTTCTCAAAAGAGCTGCTCTGTGGACAAATCCAAAATACCTGCCTGGTCCAGGAACCTTTTCCTGGATGGTGGTGGCTGCAGAGCCATTGCCTCTCACACAGCTGTTGTCAGGGCATTGTCTTGGTATAGAAATTCCCTTCAAATAACTTCCCTCCCTCCTCAAAACATGTCCTCCCCCAGCTGTCTTCTAGCTACCCTGAAGAGAAACCTGAGCGACTGCCTAAATACTGTGCCAACGCCAACTACATCCTCACACTCCTCCTCGACGCCTACAAGTTCAATGAGACCAGCTGGAACAACATCTTCTTCCAGATGAAGGTAGGCAGCAAATCCAGCCTGTGGGCAGTAGAGACAGTGATGAGGAAAAGAGCCACCTTCCCACATGGATGCTCCCTCCCTTGAAGTGTTCTCGGCCAGGCTGGATGAGGCTTTGAGCAACCTGGTCTAGTGGAAGGTGTCCCCACTGCTGGCAGGGGGGTTGGGACTGGATGATCTTTAAGGTCCCTTCCAACCCAAACCATTCTATGATTCTATGATTGGGGTGTGGTGAGAGTTATGGTCCAGAAAGTCCTCCCTGCCCCACATCCCAGCGTGTGGGGACAGCTACTGCACCCCGTTGGGGCTGTGCAGGAGTAGGTGGCCCTGTGACATCGGTGTAACTCATTGTCCCCTCTCTCCTGGGGCAGGTGGGGAGCACAGATGTTGGCTGGACGCTGGGCTACATGCTGAACCTCACCAACATGATCCCAGCGGAGGCTCCGGTGCAAGTGAAGGGGCATGTTCCTTCCCTGTGGGCTGCGGCTGTCGCCTTCATCATCCTCACCCTTGGCTTGGGGCTTGCTGCCCTGCTCCTGCTCTTGTGGGTTTAGGAGCCCAGCTGTGTTTTGGAGCCCAGCAAAAGCATGTAGGGGCTGAGGGGCTGTCTGCACTGTGGTGCCCCAGGCTGGTTCAGTGGTGCTGAGCATGTTAAACTCCAGAGCACTGAAGAACCGAGGGCTAGTCTCCCAGGGGACTGCCCCCAACATGCAGATAGGCACCACGAGATGTTTCCAGAGGAGCTCCACTCCTGTGGAGACCTGTTAGGATCAGTCTACACACCACAGAAACACCAGCCATGCCTATGCTGGGGTTTTCTGGGGGCTCCAGAACTGGATGCAAAAGTCCAGTTCTGGAGCCCTCGACACAAGAAAGACATGGACCTGTTAGAACAAGTCCAGAGGAGGCCACGAGGATGATGTGAGGGCTGGAGCAGCTCTGCTGTGAGGACAGGCTGAGAGAGTTGGGGCTGTTCAGCCTGGAGAAGAGAAGGCTCCAGGGAGATCTTATAGTGGCCTCCCAGTACCTGAAGGGGCTGGGGAGGGACTTTGGCCAAGGGCAGGGAGTGACAGAACAAGGGGTGATTGCTTGAAAGTGGCAGAGGGGAGATGGAGCTGAGATGTGAGGAAGAAATTGTTTGGTGTGAGGGTGGTGAGACAGTGTCCCAGGTTGGGCAGAGAAGCTGTGGCTGCTCCTCCCTGGAAGTGTTGAAGGCCAGGCTGGATGAGGCTTTGAGCAACCTGGTCTAGTGGAAGGTGTCCCTGCTGCTGGCAGGGGGGTTGGGACTGGATGAGCTTTAAGGTCCCTTCCAACCCAAACCAGTCTGGGATTCTATGATTCTATCTCCTCCTTACACCACTATGCCTGCTGAAGATCTGGCTTCCATCCCACCAGCTGGCACATGGGGCCATGGAGAGACAGCCTGGCCATGGAAGAGCTCCCCAAGTGTCAGCGCACAGGATGGGCATTTGGTGACAGAATGCTTCGTGTGGTGCTGGGTCTGACCATGGTCACCAACAGCCAGGCAGGTCCCAGCTGGGTCTGTCAGGGTGAGGGCATGCAGGACCCTGCACTACTCCAGCTGGCTCTGCTGAGGGTGTGTCATTTGGTCTTGGAGACAGAAGGCAAATTGAGCATCCAAAGTCAGAAGCGCAGTCCATGCCCAGAGAATTCATCTCATCATCTCACCCCATCCCATCCCATCCCATCCCATCCCATCCCATCTCAATCTTCCTTTTCTTCTGGGATAAAGGAACTGATGCTCCGAAGTGTCTTCCCAGAGATGACATTGTCCCACCAGCAGAAGGCCTGGACATGGTGGGTGTCAGACTGAAAGTCCATCAGGCTATGAGTCCTGCCCTGAGCCTGTACATGCAGCTGAGCTGGGTCCTGCCCATGACTACACCCATCCCTTTGCCTTTGGTTCTGCTCATTTGTTATCTGCCCCATGGATGATTCATCTCGTTATTTGCATCCTGGCAGCCAGGAGATGACCTTTGGTGTCTCTGCAGCGAGACGGGCATCTGGCAGCTGTTGTCATCCAAATACACATTGTAAAAGGCAGCGAATGTGCCTGTTCCTTTGCTCCTAATCAGTTATGATTTTATTGTTTCCGCCTCTCAGGTAAGGGCTGGTGATGATGATGGGGACTGAGGGGACAGTCAACATCGCTCAGTGCTACGGGACATGGCCCTGGAGACCTCTGCCAGACCTCGGAGAGGAGCCAGCAGAGCATGAGGATGGGCCTTTTCCTTCTCAGAGATGGGGTGTCTCACCTCACCCATCCACTGGCTGCCAGTGGGACTCCCCAAAAATGTAAGGGGAGTCCTGGGAGCTGCCCCTGACATGTCCCAGCAGCATTCCCAAATCACCCTGTGTGCTGGAAAGGGAGGGTGGGATGTCTGCCTGGCACAGACACAGGGTGCAACCAGACCAGAGAAGAACCTCATCCAGGAGAGCAGGAGGCTGCTGCCATCCCCCATCTCACAGGGCTTCCCAGTCCTGGGCAGAGCCTGAGTCTCATCTACTGGGCCCACAGTGCCAGTGCCCCTCTGGAATAGAAACAGAAATATTAGAAATAAATAGAATCAAATCTTTTCAGTTGGAAGGGACCTACAATGACCATCAGGTCCAACTTCCTGACCACTTCTGAGCTGACCAAAAGTTAAAGTATGTTCTTAAGGGCATGGTCCAAATGCCTCTTAAACACTGACAGCCTTGGGGCATCAACCACCTCTCTAGGAAGACTGTTACAGGGTCTGACCACTCTCTTGGTGGCCATGGGCCATGCAGGCTCTTGTCCCAGGATGGGGCAGGACACATCTGCCTCACATGGGGTATCTGCTGCAGGTTGTAACCAGCCTCGTGATGATCCCATTGCTTCCAGACATCCCTTCTCTCTTCCCAGACCCACCCCTCCCATCTTCAACCCATCCCACATCCCTGTGGTCCCCACACTGCCAGTGCTGAGCCCCTGCCCCACCTGGCTGTGCCCTCCCTCCTAGAGCATCTCCAACCAGCAGCGAGGGGACAGGAAAATCACACAGCACACGGCTACAAGGAGGATTTCTTACAGCCTGTGCCAGTTCCAGGTCACCAGGCCAGGACACAGGTGACACACATGACCAGTTCACAGCTCCTGGACACGTGGGGGGTGATGCCCCAGTCTGCAGCTCCTCACACAAGTGTGGCAGCAGGACTGAGGGGCTTCAGTGCTGCTAGAGACTCTCATAACCAGAGGAGTTTTTCTGGCAGCCTGTGACTGTGAGAAGGCAGAAGATGAGGATGAGCATGATGGCCAGTAAAACTGTGGCTGCTATCCAGTTGCTTCTCTGGAGCCCTACGACTCTCTGGGGAATCTCTGAGGGAATCATGTTGGTGAGGTTGAGCATGTAGCCCAGAGTCCAGCCCACGTCTACATTAGTGACCTGTGCAGACAGAGAAGGAAGAGGGATGTGAGAGGCTGCAGAGCACCAGGGCAAGCCAGAGAGCTAGAGAAAACCTTTGCAGTTGCACTCCCAGGTCCTGCTCCACAGCCACCATATCTGTGCACACCTTGGTCTGCAGACACCCCATGAGTGAGACAAGCTGGGGGACAGCATAAATCACCCAGGGCAGATGTCCCAGCAGGTACCTGTGAGTGTAACTCAAGAGCTGCTTACTCGGTCCTTCTCACTGCCCTGGGCATGGGGAGCAGATTGTGCTGCTCCATTATCCCCGGATCCCCCACTCAGGCAGGACAGGGACAAGGTGGGCAAGAGCCATTTCATGGCACAAAGCGTGGAAGCTGGGAGCTGCCGGGCACGTCCTTACCTGTCGGACAAAGCGGATCGTAAGCCACGTCGTCTCGTTGAATTTGTAGCCTTGCAGGAGCAGGATGAGGGCATAGGAGCTGGCTGCACAGGTGTCACGGAGGTGGGTCCTGTTCGTGGTGGGGAACTTCTTCTGCACCTGCAGAGGTGGAGGAACAGGTGAGGGCTACAAGCACGGAGCAGCGCTCGGTGCACCCACGCTGCAGGGAAGAGACCCACAGCACAGCTGGGAGCAAAGACTTGGGAATGCTTGGGGAGCAAGGAGGATCTCGGAGGTGGTGGGCTGCCCTCCCATCCCTCTCCCTGTCCAGACAGAATCATTGAATCATGATAGAATACCAGGTTGGAAGGGACATCAAGGATCATCTAGTCCATCTTTGTGCTCCTCCCAGCTCCCTCCAGCTGCTGTCTACACAGCAGAAGATGGACTATGGACAAGTCCTCAGGTTGCCCAGCACCCAGGAGAAATGTGGGCTGGGGCTGGCATCTCCTAGGCAGGATCTCACCTTCTCCCACTTGCTGGTGCAGAATTGCCAGATGGTGGCATTGACCAAGCTCAGGGACTGCCCTCCAGTCAGGTTCAGAAAGTGAAGGTTGTGATAAAGCCCTGAAAAGGCCTGTGGATGTTTAAGATCAAAAGCAGCAGGTTAGTGAAGCACCCAGGCCCCTGCCACCCCTCCAGCCCATCACTCCAGGTGCTCTGCAAGGGTCCTCAAGGCCACCTCTCCAACCAGCACCACAGGGTGATGCCTGCTGACCCGCTGGGACTGCTCCCCACACTGAAACAGACTGGTGCTGTGACAACCAAGGGTCTGGCACGCTGGTGAGCAGCCTGCATGTCTCTGTGTCTGGCACATCCCAGCTTTCAGGGCTGGCACTGTTCCAACTTGCATCCTACAGCAGTTTTCTGGGGGTCCTGGCCAGTGTCTGGTACCCCAAAACCCCACACCCCCACCACAGCCACGGGGACGGAGGCTCCTTACGAAGAATTGGCCCCGCACGGGCGGCTGATAAACCCCGTTGAAACCGCACGTCCTGTTGGCCCCACAGCTGAAGTTGAAGAGTTTCTGGATGGAGATGCTGCACAGCACTGGATCTCCCGTCCCCGTCACCGTGAGGACCTGTGTAGGGCTGGGTGGGCTCGGTGCATGGACACAGGGACTGTTGTAGAGGTCTGCCATGGTGATGTTCTCCTGGTATCCCCTGGGATAGCAGGGGTGTGATATCTGCTGGGCAGATGGGCTGCCCTGGAGAGAGCAGGAGCTGTTAGCATCACCCTGGCACTGAGGATGAGGATGGAAAGGAGAGAAACAGCCCATAGACAGCGCCTGTTCCCACACCCAGGTGAAGGACACTAGCATGCTGGGCTCATCACCCATGGAGTCTCCTCCACAGGGTGTAGGCACAGAATCTTGGGGACAAGCATGATGTGACCACGCTGTGGTCAGGAATCAGCTACAGTGATGGTTGCATGCCCAAGGATTTAGGGGTTTACACCCTTTGCTGAGTATGGACCCATTTTGTCCCCACTCTCCCTTTGTAGGGTCACCAGACTCAGGGGAGAACCAAGGCCAAGAAGCCATTTGAGCAAAACAAAACAGACACTGATTTCTCTTTGCAATGTGCTCTGGATGTGGTCTTCTGCCCATTCCAACCAGAACAAACCAGTGCTGAGCCCTCACCCCACAGCCAAGCTATGGACATGAAGGTCCCACCGTGCAGCAGCAGCACCTCCCTCCACTCTCCCATGCCCAGCACCTACTGCTGAAGACCAGCTTGTTCAGATTTCTACCAAAAAACCCAACATTACCATCCTGGTGTCATGAAATCCTGCTGGGTCTTCCTCATCCTCCCAGCACCCAGCAGGTTCCCTCCTCCAGGGCTGGGTCATTCCAGCCCCCTGTGACTGAAGCTGGGCTGACATAGCCCCCTCCATCAGGAATGGGATGGAGCTCTAGTGGGTAAGATGTCCCTGGGACAGGGATCCCAGGCACCCACCATCCTGGCAGCATCCATGGTCAGACATCCTGTTTTAGGGTGTCCATCTCAGCTCAATCCTGCCCTTACTCTTGGGACCCCCCTGTGATGGCTCCTGCTGTGGTGGTCTTGTTGGATCCACCATCTGCACTGGTGCTTCCACAAAGGCACCGAGTCCAGCAGCCACCACACCACCGGGTGCTGCCTGCCCAGGTCAGGGAGATCGGAGCTCAGGCTGCAGTGGAGGAGGACAAGGCTGGAGGTGGTTACCTGGTGTAAAGATGCCATCAGCATCTTCAGGGCTTGGTTTTGCCCGTAGCAGAGGTAGCTGTGGGTGTAAATGGAGTAGTTGGTCCCATACAGCCTGAGGAGGGTTCTTGTGCTGCTGTCATCTATGGTGGTCCCAGGAAGGAATGTGATCTGGGTTGAAGCCCCACCGAGGTCCAGAGCTCCGACCACATCCTCTGTTGGGGGGTGGATCCACTTCCCTGTGAAGGAGACCTGCCCAGCACCAGGAGTTACCCACAGGGACCTGCCAAAGGGCAACCTCTGGGGCATCAGCTTCCCAGCCCAGACC